AGAATTTGAGGCTAGAAAGGATTATAAAAATGTAAGATAAAGTTAAGCATGAAAGATTGAGAAAATACTTATACAACATTATGGGGTATATTATGGTAACTAGATTATGTATATAATACATAATAATCAAATTAAGGTAATAAACCTTTCCATCTCTGCAGATGCTCATAATTTTTATGTGCTTGGAATTTCATACTTTTCTACTCATTATAAAATATAGCATAGGTTGTTTTAATCAATAGCTACCCTACTGTGTGATACAAAACCAGAAATACATAATTCCTCTCCTTCGTATTTTGGTGCCCCTAAATAGTGTATATCCTAATTTTTAAAAAATTTATTAAAGAATTATTGCATCAGTATTTGCCATTATGTTGTTCCTGAGTTAAAGAAATACTTTTAAAATCTAGTCTATGTGTGGCCAACACACATTTCAAAAGATGATTTGGTACTGATATTTATGGATGAAATGAAATGCTGTCTGGATTTCCTTCAAGATTATCCAGGAAGCAGGTGGATGTATTTATAGAGGGGACAAGTTTGGCCATTGGTTGATAAAGGTAGAGGCTGGGTAATATCTACAGGCTATGACTGTGGCGATCAGTAATATGTCCAATACCTGTAGTGTGTATTATTGGTGGTTAGTCATACCCTGGATGTTATAATATGCTCTGCTTTTCCATATGTTTGAAATTTTTAACAATAAAATGTCTATAAAACATGTATATGCTTAGGATTTTTAAAGATCATCAGGATACCAAGATGCTGTTCCCTGGAGCAGTCCATACCTATTTTATCTATATCTTTACTCTTTAATAGGTAATATTAATAGAGGTTTGATGATACTCTAACCACAGTTTACCACCTCTCCTGCTACTGTGCTCATCCAAACCACTCTTATCTCTCCCTGCATTATTGCAGTAGCTTCCTAAAGGCATCTCCTTCCTTTTTATTCTTTCCCAAACTCAGTCTAAACTCTACATACAACTGCAGTGATACAGTATTTTAAAGTATAAAGGTGATCCTATAAATTGTCAGATCCAAACTTACTAGAATAAAATTCAACTCTTTACTAAGCTTTTCTTACTACTGAACACCCTAAATGTTTGATCCTGCTTTTGTTCTCCCCAGAATGCTCTTTCCACAGCCCCCTCACTGTATTCAGGCCTCTGGTTCAATGTCACCCCCTCCTAGGCCATCTCTGGTTGCCTAACTGAAATGACCCTCATGACACATATGGATGCACACAGACGTATACCTTCTGCTTTATTTTTCTCAATAGCACCTTGTTCTATCAGACATTGTATATTTGCTTATTTACTTAGTACACTGTTCTTCCTCCTTAAGATCAGTGAATTGTTTAGTACTGCTTCTCTAGACCTTAACCATGGCAGGGATGTAATAAGAGTTCAAAAAATATTTCCTTACTAAAGGAATGATTGGCATTGTTCCCTGCATATGAGATTTGCAGATTAAAATATTGTGGCTAAGAGAGTATTACAAAACATGTAACTGCTCTTGTCTAAAAGGATTTTCTTTCCTCTGTGACACTGCCTGTTGAGAGCACGAGTGTCTGGGGGGCGGGGAGAGATACTGGATGCTCCAGTGCCGAGAAAAAGGTGAGGCACTTCTAATGTTATTCATAATTGGGCGTAAATGGGAGAGCTGACGAGAGAGGGCATACGGGGGTCCTGAACAAGATTTACTCTATGGTTAAAGGAGACACTCTCCGGAAGAGTATGCCATTTATGTAATAAACAGGCTGTGCATCGGTGGCTGCAGGTTACCTTAAGTGACAAGGAAGTCTGGCACTTGAATTAGGAAGATGCTGCATGTCCGCAGACAGCTACAGGCTGTCCTGAGAATTGGGTGGCAGACAGTGTTATTGTAGCACTGTGTCTAATGTGCAGGAAATTGAATTCCACAGTCATACCCAAGCTTTCTTACACTTTTGAAGCAGAAGATGAAAATATAAATGACATTGTTGGACTGGCTCTATAAAATATAATTTCTGAAAGGAAGAACCACATTATTACCAATCGTGGTATAAAGAAAAAAAGTGTCCAGGTTAGAAATCAGAATTACTGTTATATTGAGCAAGAAGGATTCATTAAAAGTTTGCATTTTATGCTGTCTCATGTTACTACCAGGTCCACTTTAGCCTGTCTTCTCAGTTCTCTCCTAGAAGCTTCTATGTTCTCCATGGTTTCTTTTCTTTGCAGGTTACTGAATGGGGACCTCTAAGTCAGTGAGCTGTGGTGACCCCTTCCCCTCAGAGGAGCCTGTACTCCCTTCCTATTTTGGGGGCTGAGTTCAGAGTAGAATGAAAGCTTATGAGTCACTTGCTTGTAAGTGTCCCATCATTTCAGTTTTCCCTAGACTAATAGGCCCAAGGGCCATGGGACTTTTTTTAATTCATTAAGTTTATTGGTACATTTTAGGTATACAATATGATGACAATCATCACTGGGAATTTGTACCTTTACATGACATATCTTGGTTCTTATTTTTTTCCCCATTCCCCTGACCTCCCTTCAACCCATTCATCCCTCCCTATTTACAAAGACTTTGTTTCCATTTTTTCCTTTTCTCATATTTATTTTCCCCTTCACCTGCCACTTCCCCTTCTGGGACATGGGACTTTTAACACTAAGCCCAAGACAGTCCCAGGCAAACTGGGGCAAGTTGGTCTCCCTACCGCTAGAAAGTTTAGGGATAGCATTACAGTTCATGGGCAAATTCTTTACCCTCCTCCTTTTAACTTCCTATGCTTTCTAGAATCTCTACTGAACTTCTGTAACAATTCTGACCACTTAATTATATTCACTGAATGGGAGCCTGTGGGTTTCTATGATACCTCAAGAAGAGTCACAAAAGAAATCTCCTGGTACCTAGGTTTATGCCTCTCCTCTACTTTATACCTCGATGCTCAATTTGGTCTGTACTTGTGAATGTGCCCATATGCTGCTCTCTGCCTTGACACTTTAGCAAGTGCCTTGTATCTCCACCAGGATATGATGTGTCTCTGATGATCTATCTGCATCTGGTGATGTGTCTTGTGGCATGCTTGAGTCCTGCTATCTACTGGGGCCTGTTCTTCACACTCCACATTGCTGGGCTCTGCTCCTCACTGATGCCAGGCTGTAGTCCAGGAGCTCCTTGGGCTTCCCTGGTGGGCCACGCACACACAGCACTTCTGCAAGCTTTGGAGAAAGGCATCCTCCTAAACACGTACATTTCATTATTGAAGATGCCCTCTCTGGGATGACCAGTTAGTAGAAGGCACCAGGCTTGCCTAACAGCTCTAGTTGGATTTTGACTCCACCCTAAGTCCTTTTTGCTGGGTGCATACTTTATTCAGCCACATTACCAGCTGTGCTCCCTATGCTACTGACCAGCTGCTCCATCTGCCAGCAGCACCTGTCTGGATAGATTTTCTCATTACGAGTCCTAAACTTGACCCTGAATTTGTCCCTTGTTTCCCTGCTTCAGTATCTTTCAGCTTCCATCTTGCTCCTATTTAAGCTACATTCTTAACTGAGTATGCAAAAAGAAGGAAGGTAATAGCCCATAAAACCTATGTAGTTGACAATAGTTATACAACATTTGACCATTCTATCAAATATTGTAATGAATTCATTTAGTACTTATATCAAAACCTACCTCCCATTGATAACAGTGCTTTGTTATATTTGATGTCTGGTGGCCTCTGGATCTGTTTTTTAGTCTTTTCTACCTCTTTATTTCCCTAGAAAATGTTTATCCTGGGCTATTAGCATGTTTCTTTTTTCCAAAGATAGTTCGGGAAGGGAGTTTTCTAATATAATTTTTACTTTAGTCCCAGGTCAGAATACGTTATTCCAGACATCTTTGTGAAAAAGATGAAAGTATGAAACCTGGCTACTTAAGCAGTAGTAGTTCTTAAAAGCTAAAACCAGAGAAGACAGTACAGGAAAGAGAAGCTGTGGTCTGATGGGTTTATCATTCCAGCCCTGGGAGGAAGGTGACTATGACAAGGAATATCCATCTGGAGCAGATGGAAAAAAGACACCAGAGAAGGAAAGAGTGATTTGGACACGCTGAAACACATTGCACTAGGATTCTGAAAACTCATCTAGGCAAAGAGAAGCTTTTGTTATTCGGAACTGCAGGTTTTGGAGTTTTAATCAGTTAGATCCAAGTTTCCCTGATGGAACATAATAATTACCACCAAGTATGAGCTTGCCATGAAGCTTCACGTTTTACTTTGTGAAAAAAAATTCAATCTTATTTTGTAAGGAAGAACATATTATAGGAACATCACATTATGATTATATTCCAATGCAAGCCACATAGTGATCTGGGAAGCATTGTTTCTGCCTTTTCGCAGCTCAAATGTTTACCCAGTGACTCCAGCACAGAGCCCAAAGTTACTGATGAGGATAACATCAGATATGTATAATATATATCACATAATATAGTTTATATATACATATATAAAATCTAGAAATAGCAGTGAATGAGTACATGAAGAGACAGAGTTAGTTTCATCAAGATGGTTTCACAGGATGCTTTGGCTTAGAGAATGTTCAATTCCCTTGAAATGCCTTTGCACAGCCAGATCTCTGCTAAGATCAAAATGCATTTTTCCCTTTTTTTGTAGGTACCAAAAATAGCTTAATAAATAGAAACAATTTCTCTAGGGTGTCTTTCCTCCTTAGAGCACTATGAAAAGGATGTAGGAAACATTTGGAGAGAAAGCTTATCTGCATTCACAAACCCCATGTGGGGTTTGAGTTTTCTTGCATGAGAAATGAGCTTGAGCCCACTAATTGTGTAATCACGTCTTATACCTCCAGTTAGCCTCCTCTGGAAAACTTCCTAACTGCTGGCCCAGGAGAAATGATAGTCCCTGTTTACAACTTCAAGTTTTTGTAACATAGGTGCACAAGACCCGTAAAGCGAATCACTTTCAGCATACTTTCTCCGAGGCACAACAGGGGAAACAATGGTCCACTTACTTGTGTTTATCTTCTGGAGTGAAATGTGCTTTTCCAGTTGTCTCCGAAGTTTCACCTCGGCTCCATATTTTCCAGTGGTCCCATTGTCAGCCAGGATGAAGTGGGAGTGCATGCTGTTGAGAACAGTGAGCTTGCTCATGGGATTGGACATGGTCTGGTATGGCCGGACTACCTGCAGGGTATTGAAAGGAAGAGGTAGACATCAGAGAAAAGGAAACATCAGGAGAAGGAGAACTGGAGACAGGAAAAGAAAAAGAATTTCTTTCTTTTGTACAGTGAAAGTGCCCTCTGCATCCTCTTCCTAGAATTGCTTTGGGTAGAAGCAAGATTTATGATAAAAATTTCATTCAGAGCAAGTTTTAAAGAAATATTTATTTACCACACTCATCCAGAAAGGAGAATTTGTGCTTTTACACTAAAAAACTGGGCATGCCAATCATTGTTTCATTATAAAGTCCATAGTTTATTTGCTTTTTTTTTTTTTTTTTAACAAAACCCCCACAGTTTCTTTTAGCTTTTCCAAAATTGAAAATATCAAGTTCTACTGCTAGGGAGAACAAACAAACAAACAAACATAATATCTGAGCCCTACTTCTAGGGTTTTCTGTTAGTTTTTTTTTTTTTTTTTTTTTTTTTTTAACAAAACCCCCACAGTTTCTTTTAGCTTTTCCAAAATTGAAAATATCAAGTTCTACTGCTAGGGAGAACAAACAAACAAACAAACATAATATCTGAGCCCTACCCCTTCTCTTAAGTCACAGAACATGGAAGGAAGTGCAGTGGGGCAGGTGGGTGCAGAAAACCCAGAAGGAGGAGGGCAAGAGAAACTCCCCACACCTAAAAAGTCGTTCAACAGAAACTGATAAATACAGGACAATGGCAGGGTAGGTAAAAACAAGGAGCAGCAGAGCGAGAGGCTGTGTTGTAGATGTGGCCTCCCTTCCTGTTCTCTTTCCTCCTCAGGCAATGCTAGGTCCAAGACATAACTTGCCCCTTTGAGATCTAAACGTTGACTCCCATGAGCCTCCCTCTAGATTTCACTTGAAGCAGTATGTGAGGCACACAACCATTCTTCCTTTGATACATCAGAAAAGAGAAACAATGGTAATTTTGCCTTCTATCACTGTATCATGTATGAATTTTTAAGGAGAAAAAGCTGAGGCAGGGAGTGTCACTGTTTCAGATGTCTTCCAAGGTGGCAGAAATACCTCAGAATCTGCACGAGGCAAGAAACCAGGAAAACTCAGACGAAGGCACCAGCCCAATCTGCCTCAATAGCTTAAATTGTGTGGTTTATCACAATTGTTTGCAAATTCTAAGAACCTTTTCTAGATGTGAGGAAGGTCACAGCAGTAGGGGAGGATGAAGGACTGAATCTGCTGGTCAAGAACCATGGTACAGGTGGTTAAGGTCACCTTGTAGCACTGTCTTAGAAATACAGCTTTGAGACACCAAAGATGTCAGAAGCCATCAATGTCCTGGCAAAAGGTGACAGGAAGAGAAGAATGAATGGTATTTATTAACAGTGGGAGCCTCTACCCTTCTTCAAGAACACCTCCTCCCACCAGTGGAACAGATTAGAAGATGCAGAAACAACTCCAGACACACTCAGCCATCTCATCTTTGACAAGGAGCCAAACACCCTCACTGGAGGAAAGATAGCCTCTTTCATAAATGGTGCTGGAAAAATTGGGTTTCCACTTGCCAAAGACTAAAACTAGGCCTATATCTCTCACCATTCACTAAACTAAAATCTAAATGGATCAAAGATCTAAATATTAAAACAGAAACACTAAACTGGCTAGAAGAGAGTTTAGAAAGAACTCTTGAAGACACTGGTGTAGGAAAAGATTTTATGAACAAAACCTCAGTTGCCCATGAACTAGCACAAACAATCAGCAAGTGGGATCTCTTCTTACTAAAAAGCTTCTGCACAGCAAGAGAAACCACCAGCAGTGTGAAGAGACAACCTACAATGTGGGAAAAAATTTTCACCTTCTGTCCCTCAGACAAAGGTCTACTATCTACCATCTATAAAGAACTTAAACAAATCAGACCTCCCACATTTAAAGACCCAATGCAAAAATGGGCATCTGAAATGAACAGACATTTCTCAAAGAAGTAGAAACAGCAAATAAACATATGAAAAAATGTTCAACATTGCTGGTCATTTGGGAGATGCAAATGAAAACAAAGCTGAGATTCCACCTCACTCCAGAAAGAATGGCTGCTATCAAGAAATCAACCAATAACAAATCCTGGCTGGGCTGTGGGGAAAGAGGAACCCTGCTCCACTGCTGGTGGGACTGCAGCCTGGTGCAACCACTGTGGAAATCAGTATGGAGATACCTCAAAGAACTAGGACTGGAAGTCCCATTTGACCCAGCTATTCCCCTGCTGGGGATCTTCCCCAAAGAATTAAAGAGTCATACCACAGTGACATATGTGCACCCATGTTCATAGCAGCACAGTTTGTCATAGCTAAAACTTGGAAGCAGCCCAAATACCCATCAACTGGAGACTGGATAAAGAAAATGTGTTTTTTTTTATAAAATGGAGTACTACTCAGCCATAAAAAATGATAAATTAGAGACATTTATAGCTAACTGGATGCACATTGAGATGATATTCTTAAATGAAATAAATAGGACACACATGTGTAAATACTGAATAGTTTCTCTAGTGTGAGAAACTGAAAGTGTAAATAAGGAATAAAAGGTATAATAGATAATGTGAAATAGGAAGAAAAGGGGCAAAGGGTAAGGGGAAGTGGGAGGGGTGGGGGAAAGGAAAGAAGGGAATGGAATTAATATGAGAAAATGAGAGAATGGAAACCACGTCTGTGTAAATAGGGAGGGATGGATGGGTTGGAGGGAGGGCAGGGGAATGGGGAAAAATAAGAACCAAGAGAGACTATGTAAAGGTGCAAATTTCCAATGATGAAGGTCATCACATCGTATACCTAAAATGTACCAATAAAAAGATATAGATGAAAAAAGAAAAGAACACCTCCTCCCTTCCCATCTGAATGGGGCCATTGGCACATGTTCTGGTGGTCCTGGAATTTCCCGAGTTGATTGGTCCGCACAAATGGCCCCCTAAACCCATAAACACAAATGGCAGAACTTCAAAGAAAACAAAAGGGAAAAAGCCCAGTTTCTATGTCATGTAAAATTTTCTGGAGTTGGCTGGAGAAGAGTGGGGCTCAGAGCCAAAGTTCAGGTGTTACTTCCTCTTTTTCTTGGATGCGTCTGGAACCGTGGTTAGAGCCACGGCCTGAGCTTTGTACAGACGCCTTCCTCTTCCGGCTCATTCTTCGACTCTGTTCTTCTTCTTCCTCATAGCGACTTTCATGGTCCACTTTTCAGGCTTCTTCCTCCAGTTCATCCCAATCTTTGCCACTTTCTTCTTCACTGCCCAAGGATTCCTTGGAATAGTCGGATGACTCTTCTTCTGATGAATAATCTTCATCACTGTCCTCCTCCTCTTCTTCATAGTCATCCTCTGAAGGATTGAAAGTCTCGTCTTCTATTACAGACTCTGAATCCCCTTCTTCAGCACCACTCCCCTCACCCTCAGGTTCCAGGAGAGACCAGCCACCCCGCTCGAAGAAGCCCTCAGGGTCATCCACATAGTGTTCACGATTTTGGTCCAGTTGAGGGACTGTACTCCTTCTGTGTACTTCAGATTACAGGAATTCAACCATTCCTTGATGGGGTCAAGAGAGGCTACAGGAATGGCATTGGTCATTGTCACTTTCTTGCTATAGTCCTTGTAGACAATTACTATATCAAAGTTCTTCAGGTGAAACTGGACTCTCTCAAAATGGATCAGCTCCACTTCATCCAATGTCACCACAAAAGGTGGCCATTCTGAAGCATTGACCAGCGCACTACTAGTGGGCTGAAGGAGGCAGGTACTCCTGTAGGGAGCTCCATTAAATCCCAAGTCCTGAAAAGGCACTGCAAATTTTCCAGTTCCTCCTTTGTTAGAGCCTCTACTTTCTGGATGAAATTTTTAAAGGCAGTTTTCAGTTTGTGCCTCATTTCTCATTCCATCTCCTCAGCATAGAGGTCATCTCAGCCATGCATTTGCGGGTGTTTCTCCAAGTCCTTGATGATCTCACCCACTTCTGTGTAGAACTGCAAGTCTGTGTGTCGCTTCTTCCCAAAGATGATGGCATTCTTAAGGTGAAAGTGTAAGACAATAATTATTTCTCCATCACAGGGCTGGAACAAAGCATGTTTAATATTATTATACAAAATATCCCCTTTGTCTCCTCGAACAGAAGTGAAGAGGAAACCATTGACGTGGGCCTCCAGGGAGTCTTGCATCCTCTTCCGGGCAATGTTTGGGTGGATGTACAGAACCTTCAGTTTGGGATTACTCCGGTTTAGATCGATCACTGGTGAGTCTTTTTTCATGATGCCCTCCTTTTCTTTCTCTTCTGCTTCCCGAGTCTTGTAACATTTTTATACTTCTAATTTGGAAAGCATTCTGAAGGTTCAAGGCTGGTTCCGACTGTTCTCCAGGCATTTTCATATTTGAAGCATGGTATGTAATTTCCTTGACGAAAGTGGCTTCAGGGTTAGGAAAGATGTTGCCTTTGTTCCTGCCCAGAGCACTGCCTGGGCAATGGAAGTTGATTCGCAAGTAAGTATAATCTCCTTCCACAGACATACTTATATTCTTGATTGTGGCAGTGTGAAAAGGTGTTGCAATGCCAAACACTGGCATTATTACCGTCTCATATATTCTTATCAATATAGATTTTCATTTCCCGCATATGTGGTTCCTTAGGCATCAGAGATGGGTTTTTATAGGACACATTTGATTTTTGAGCCTTCTGAATCTGCTGCTCTCCCTTCCATTCAGTCAGTCACCTCTTTGCTTCCTCGTTGAGCTGAGCTGCCAGTTCTTTCTGATGTGCTCTTCGCTTCTCTTCTGCAGTCATCTCATTTCATGTTTTCTGTAAGTAACCCTGCCCAAGAACCTCTTCCTAGAAGGTCTTCACTTCATCTTTCTCCTCTTCCTCTTCTTCCTCATCTTCATTCTTTATGAAAATCCCCATATTCTTTTCTTTCTTCTTCACAGAAGTAAGAACTGTAGCTGGGCCATCCTCATCCACAAGCACAGTGTCACCAATGAATAGAGCATACAGTTTCTCTTCTG